CTCTGGGAAACATCCTAATTTCTCCATTGAAAATAATGGAACAAATCTATTTCTGGGTTTTCACAGGTGAGGAACGGTCACATAAAGAGAGTCCCGGACAATGACATACATTCGAATGTGCTGGAGATTGAGGGAGCAAATGTCAGGTGAGTTTGTCTGTTTATTTATTAATCAAAGGTCAACTTTATTTTCAGTTCTATGATATGTACAGGATATGTAAACTGAAAATTATAATAATATATATAATTATATAATTATATACGCTATTGCAGTCCTGGCATATTTAACATGATATTCTTTTTTTCAAGCTCTTGGATGTACATTAATGTATCATGTAGATGCCAGGCAGAGTAATTAGATTTACTTTCTTTAATATTTTTGTCGTGTTAAATAACTGAGATAAATCCGTTATTTAAGTCTCGCCCATCCTAGCTTCATCAACTCTGTCCTCCCTACAGCACCACCTACATAACATGCCCTGCAGACCCCAAGAAGACCCTGGGAATCAAACTTCCCTTTTTGGTCATGATCATTAAGAACCTCAAGAAGTATTTCACCTTTGAGGTCCAGGTAGAGACATTTAAATGCTTTGTGATTGGCTAACATAAAGTCTGGGAATCTACCATAGACCTGGTGCTACGTGTGTCTCAAATCTCCCTCTCAGGTTCTGGACGATAAAAACGTTCGCCGGCGGTTTCGAGCGAGTAACTATCAGAGCACGACGAGGGTGAAGCCCTTCATCTGCACCATGCCCATGAGGCTCGATGACGGCTGGAACCAGATTCAGTTCAACCTGTCCGACTTCACCAGGAGGGCTTATGGAACCAATTACACAGAGACGCTACGTGTACAGGTTAGTGCACACATAAGGAACCTCTGAGTCTTTCCTGTTTCTCTATAGTAAGAATTTGGCGCAATATTCCTTTTTCTCTTTTTAACATCTGCTCTGTTTCCCCCCTCAGATTCATGCTAACTGTCGGATAAGGAGGGTGTATTTCTCCGACAGACTGTACTCTGAGGATGAGCTTCCAGCTGAGTTTAAACTCTACCTGCCTGTCCAGAATCAGAAGGCCAAGGTTAGTACATCTCTCCATATACGTGAACGCTAATACAGTGTTACAGTCAAAAAGTTACCATTTCAGCTCTCAGTCTGTAAAAATGTTGTGTAGAAGTTCAACACTTGTCTGTCTGTGTCTTGCAGCAGTAGAGCTTCTTGCGGTGTGCAGCCCCCCCCGATGTGACTTGGAGTTTTAGTTGTGACAACATTATGCAGATTCAGTGTGACATTTAGTTTTGACTTTTTTGTGAGTCTCTGCACATTCAAGTCTGGTCTGATGTTTCCTTGCACTGCTTTAAAAAGATATCCAAAAGATCCATTATCTGGGGTTTTTCCAGTTTGCCACCATCCTGTGCATCCTAAACAGTGTTTATGAATGTTGACCACCTTATGCCCTCGTCTATATTTCCTTCTGACACAATGCAGAATCCCTTTATTTTTTTCCCTTGTACTACAGGTATGAATATCAGCAGAAAGACTTAGTTTCAATAAATTGTTGTTGCTATTAAAGCTATAACACTTGACAGGAACAAAATATAATCTTTACCTCTGGTCATTTAAACAAATAAGATCCTGACACTTGCTTCTATCTGATTTTAATCCTGTTATTTTACATGTCAGTAGTTTTATATTTGCTAAAAGGTTTCTCAGATTTGGCTCTCTATTATAGAAATATGTTTAGATGCTGTGATGATTGTGACATTTATTTCGATTAGGCTAACTACTTCTAGCCCAATTCCATAACCACACCTGTTCATTTACAATATTAATAATTCTAATATTAGATTTTGTATGGTTACGGTGGTTTCTTCACAAAATAAATATCTATAAAACAGAATGTGTGCTTAGATAAAAGCCTTTATGTGAACATTATCAAGCTCTAGTCTGTTTGTCTTAGGCAGGCTTTTTCTGCTTGATCTGCTTGATCTGCTTCCTCTGTGTTTTATTCAGGTGTATTTATTACCTATGCTGTTTATTACCAGGTTGTAATAAAGTTTTTTGGGAAAAAAAAATATCTTCAGGTTTTCTGTTACCACCTCAACCGAGTTGTTTATGGATCAGTTCCCTGGCTACACAAAATAGAATGAAGATTTTTTTTTTTTTGATAAAGATTCATACAATAATTATTTCCTCAAATTAAGCGAGACGGGTGGCGGGGAGGGGTTCACTCGGAACTAGTATAAGGGAAACGAAAACCCGTAAACAAACGAATCACGTGCAATAGCAACCAGCGATATGCGTAGCAACTGCTTGAAGGGTCTCAAAGTGCGTAATGTCTATGGAGTGAGCTCAAGGATGTTTAAAAACACCTCACAGTGCACGTTGTCTATCTTATAGAGCATCGGTAGCAAACCTTTTCAAATATGGGACTAAAAGGTAAGCAGCGGGTGTAGAGGGTGTATTTTTCCCGACAGACTGTACTGTGAACATGAGCTTCTAGCTGAGCAGTTTTGAGCAGATAGATGGATGGATGGATCAAAAGACATCATCACAGGGTCTCTGCTAATAATGCTCCTTGCTTTTAAGTTTATAAAGAATGATTACCACAACTTCTTTTGATGTGCTATAACATTAAGTACAGGATTTAGGATAATCATCTTATTTGTCAAAAACCGAAGGAGGCACACTACTTGTTTAAGTCTTTACCAACTGAAAACCTACTAGAAGTTGGCCTTGAAGCCCTTTTCATTTCTGCCATATTTCAGGCCTGCTTATAGAACAAAATAGGTTTGCATCAGAAGTTTGTGAGGGTGGTCTTTGCCTATGTAATTACTCTTAGAAAAATCTGGAAGCTATTCAAATAGCCAACAAACCACATCTTCACTGATATGTACTGTGGCGTCAAAACTCAGGGGAGGTCACCAAATGGGGGAAAGAGTTAATGAAACACAAACAGACAAGTCCATTAACCAGATAAATGATTTTTTTTTTAATCAAACACCACACGTTTTCAGTGACAGTTGCCTTTCCAAGATAATCTTTTTCTTCACTTTGGATTTCTGTACACATGAGCAAAACTAGCAATATATTCAATTTTACATATTGCATCAAAAAACAAAACACACACCTCAACATTAACTAATATCGAAGAAACACCTTTGAACCGCTTTGGATGCCTCTTTCTATCGATTGTACTGAAGTACGCATTTTCTGTTTTTCCTCAGCAAGCTCATGTTATTTAGATATATGGTTTGTAAATGTAGAAACAAGTTTTTAGGGGAGAAAAAAACCAAAAAAAAAAACCAAAACAAAAAAACTCTTCTCAGATGTTAACTCTGGTGTCACACAATAACCATATCTCACATCTGACAAAATTCAGAACTGGGTCACATTTGCAGATGAAAGTGGGTCAGACAAAAAGGATGTAAAAAGTGTCATTTGTGCAATGAAATACTAAAAGTGATCAGAATGATGCTTTACTTTTGTGTTTTCAGGAAAACAAAAATTATAGCTTTAAAACTGAGATTTGGTAAAATATTTCAGTTTGAGCTTAGTGCAGTAAATCTTAGGCTCCCGCACAAATCACCATACCATACAAAGAAGCCCACTTGCTACATAGATAAAAGACTACCTTTCCTACATTTTGGATTATATTACAAGTATTTGGCATCAAATCTAACAGCATTTTTCTTCATTTTAAATGCAAGCATTTTACCCTCCTTTTTACAGCAGGCACTTAGTATTCAGTAAGGAATGCCAACACTCAGTTCTATTACTGGTGTTCAAGGACTGTTTTTCCCTGAATTATGATCAAAAAGGAAAGAATGCAACCATTTTTAAACAAAAGGCTGTCAATTATCTCTCAAAGATTGATAAAATAAGAATATCTTCCTACATCAATTTATGGTATGTTATCCACACTGGCAGTAGTGTCATGTTCTGACAATATCTAGATCAAAGAAATGGACTCAACAAATACTGTAAATCATCCAACGTGATCAGGCTGTTTCAACTGCTTTCTTTAAATTAATGCAGCTTCAGTTTTCCCTTTTAACAGCAACGTCAACAAGCAGATTACAGAACATAGAAATCTCAGCACAAATTTGTTTTCTTTACATGATTGATACAACTTAAAATAATGCATCCATTGAAATCTATTGCTTCAGTTAACTGCATGCATCTCAAGTGCAAAAAACATTCATTGGTTCAATCTGGCAAATCAAACACTTAAATCATTAGTTTAAACACAAAATACCACATGTGATTTCAAAATGGCACAATCAAACATCCAGCAAATACAATACTGCAAAACTATAAAATAAACTCGACAAATCAAAGGCAGTGCAGACACAAGATGATGATAAAGCCAAGGCAAGTAAGCCAGCAACACGTGCTCTTCCGCTCAAAGCTTGCATTGATTTTGTGTGACATACAAATGTACAAATAAATCCACATCAACGTCCTGGTGCTCAGTCTTTTTGGAGAGGAATCCTTGTTTCCTTCAGTTTTCTACCTTCGGACATTTTCGGTGTCATTTTTAATATACCGTCCGTAATACTGGAAGTTATATTGCATCCAAGGATACATGCAAAAGTCAGTCTGGTCTATGTCAAGCTCTGGAGATTCTTAAGTGGTCGACCAGGATGTCAGGCTTTAGCTTGTAGAAGTTTAATGGCTTTAACATTTAAAAGTGTTGCCTCTGGATATACAAAGAGATGCTCCTCAGCCCCTGATATAGAATCCCCATTTTCATATAGTTTCTCTGGAAAAAGGATTCTGGATCCAGGCTGTAGCTTGTGCACAGTTGGCAGTGGTTCACACTTGTTGCACCTGCTGGTATGTGCATTCTTAAACATTCACTACTGAGCGGAGGAGCGTGTGGTTTTTATTAGTCTTCCCACTTTTAAAATGAATGTATTAAAGCAGAGGAGTCCCCAACCCCCAAAGAAGTCTAACCATTGAGTCAATGAACGGTAGATTAAACCACTAGCACCATATATTTGTTTTTGTACAGTGGATCGCACAGTTGGAGGCTGACAGGGGTGCAGTGTGAGACTAGACAAGACTCCTAAATATCCAAAATCATTTCCTGATGGTTTTCTAATGTGCAAAAATGAAGTCACAACTTTCGTGCCAATGCTTCAACAGCTTCATAAACATCAGCTTGCCATGGATTCCCCTGAACCTGCTCTATAATACCTTATTGGCGTGTTCTGCAGACTGGTGTGTGGGTGTCTGTCCTGTGTTATGTAGTGCTCCCGTAATGAATGACATAGTAGTCATGGACGTACATCAACACGGCGATGGGCTGTCCAATGATGAGTGAGATCCACACGGCCGCGTTGCCATAGTTTCCATTCAGGAAGCGACTTACGAACAAAGCCAGAGGAACCTGAAGGGTTTAAAGTCAGAGGTGAATGCATGTGTATGCCTCAGTATATAATGAAATAAATGAATAAATATAGGGCCTTACCTGAGCCATCATTCCCATGAATGCCCACAGTCTAAACATCTTGAGAGGAACACTCACCAGGTACTGAGGAAAGAAATAGATTCCCTTTTTTAGAACTCAGCAGTTGCATTTATAACAGTGATGCTGTAAGCTAGCAACTCTTCTTTCTGTGCATACACCAGGAACCTCTGAATTTCTGCCTTCATGTAGGAATAAAACATTTAGTAAAAACAGTCTGCTTCACATACAGAAGTAAAAACAGCCATCAAAGGTGTTTGAGGCTAAATGTTGCTCATTTACCTCATGGAAAAAGGCAGAAGCCAGAAAAACAGCAGTTTGAGCCAGAAATTTGTTCACCCCCTTCCTCAACATTGGCTTATAGAAATGTCTGCAAAACAGGGAAACAGACAAATGACTCCTGGGCTTTCTTTTTATATCTGGGTATATAACTATACATGCACTATTAATGAGACCAAAGCCAACCAATCAAACCATGTGGAAATACTAAGACTTGTCATTACAGAGTTTGCTGCTCACCTCAGGCACCACTTGTGCACTGGGATGTTCCAGTTGGCCCAGAAGTATGTGACAGTCTCAGAGTTCCTGAAATCAAGAGCAGTTTAAGGAACTGATGTCAAAACTGCAGTGCGATTTGAATCAATATTCCTAGGAAAACACTCTTTGAAACCTATGTGATACATCATCTGTTGCATTTGGAAACACCATCACTTCTCCTACATCTGACAGACTGCTACAACAACATATTAAAGTAACAGAAAAATGGAAGCAAAAAACCAAAAAAAACCAAAAGAGAAATAAATGAAAGATGAGACGAATCACACAGAAAATGTATGCTTGATGACTCACCACCAGTCCCTGTAGAACTCCCGGTCTCCAAACTGCAGGAGCTCTGCCACAAAGTTCAGAGAGGAATGGAAAAACCAATAGAAGAATATTAACCATATTAGATGGTTAGGAACCTGGGAGGAGGCAGCCAGGGGGAGGATTAGAGAGGAGAGAGGAAAAGGTGTCTAGGTTGGTAAGGTTGAACTACTGTTGACTAACAAATGTAACTCTTGAGACCTCTTTTGAGATGAGCACAGAATAAATTTCACTTTAAAAATGTTAAAATAATACAAAAAACAAAAAAACAAAAAACAAAAACAAAAACAAAAACAAAAACAAAAAAACCACACAACACCAGAATAGAGGGATTCATTTGAGCGTTTAATTTAGATCACTAATAATAGATCACGGATAAAGTCTCTGATGTGCAGTCTAGATACTCACAGCTAGTTTCAGCAGCCGCTCCACCATCCTAGAAAAGTCCATTTCCTTTAAGAAGTAACAAAAAAATGATACCTTTTCTTTATAAGACCGCTCCAGTTACAGGCAAATATTTTTTTGACTCTTCTTTTATTGGAGCCATTGTAAGTGATGTGGTGAGTGTCTCTGTGTTTATACACACCTGGAACGGTTTCATTGAGTTCTGAACACTTGGGACCATCCACTGGAAGACACAGACTTAGGTTAGGTTTCTTTTTTGCCACTTTCCCACAATATACTCAAAGAAGAAATGTGTTTGAACTAGGCATATCACAATTTCAGATTTTCACTAAA